ATGATGATGATGATGATGATGATGATGATGATGATGATGATGATGATGATGATAGCGCCCCTAGTTTCCCTACAGATTGGTGGTGTCGGTGACCTAGTGGTTAGTCTGCCGGATTTGTAATCGTGAGTTTGCTGGTTTGAGAGTTTGGGAGTCCGAGCCTCAGCTCGGTCCGACGTTGTGTCTTTGGGAAAGGCACTTCACACGAACTTCCCATTTGGCTCGGTCCTTTCGGAGATGGGCGTTAAACTCGGAGGTATCACCTCTTGAACAACGTAACAGTAACAGTGTTGATAGGGGGCGTTAAACCTATACCATTTCACAATTTTCACCCTACAGATTTTATTTTTTGCCTGTTCAGGCTAGGAAGGTATATAGAATTTCTCGAATCGTTTGACAGTGTGCGGTGTGTTTAATATTAAACTTGTACGCATGTATAAAGAAGAGAAGGACGTTGCTTTTCTCCCCAATCTCTTTACTTTTTTCTCATAAAACCATCGCACTTTTTCAGGGGAAAGTAATCCATCACATTATTTAACTATGAGTCACTACTTCACGGACACTTTTTTCGGTCTTCGTGATTTCCATAACATACAGACTTCGTGAACCTACGCTTCAACTCTCAGGAGAAAGATTACGGATCGGGTCCTTCAGGAAGGGGAAAGGGGAAAAAATCTGATGACAATGAAGGATTGCCAGGCACATACTTACAGGCAAAATCCACCAACTTGGCAGCATGTTTTAGAAATGATCACAAAAGCAGCTGTTATCTGATATTTATTTAACTTATGAAGGTAACGTCGAGATTAGGATAACAGGGGTGCAGTGATGGAAATATCCCCCCCACCCCTCTTTTCTCCCCCAATTGAAATCGAAAGTAGGAAGGGAGATAAACGCATCGACCATGACACATGTAACTTGGGAGCTGTTTGCGCTAAATCAACATGTCGTCCAGTGGTACAATGCTGTCAGCACACACTCCCCAGGCTACAGCCGTGTTACAAAGGGTTTTGTGGGAAAATAAGCGCTGTCATTTGAAAAAAATGTTGTTCTAAAAATACGGTAAAACCTGATCTAACGGTCGCCTCAATAAGACAATCACCTGTACAAACGGCCACATGTATAAGACAATCACCTGTACAAACGGCCACCTGTATAATTGATTGACTCGTCTAAAACAGTCACCTGTCTACGACGTTTATTTTTCTCCTCGGCAATGGATGAATATTTGAATTAGTTAATTAAAATAATAATAA